TATATATATATATATAATGACATATGACCCTATGAGTATGACTATATTAATCCACAAATAGGATCATACATGACACAATATCAAATTCATACCAGTATTTCATACAAAGTTAAATACTTACAAAAAGTAGTGTAATATCTATATACAGCACATGAATTAGTAATTTTTTTCTATTAATATTACAATCTAAGCTAACTACCTTAACACTATCACTGTCAGTAAGTAGACTGTAGAGTTAGATTTGTCATGTTCAGTTACTGTTTTTATACTTTATAGTGCTAGCATTATTGTAAAGCTATAAGTTTTTGCTGTAACAAGTACCCACACCTATGCTCTCTAAATCTATATCACCTTATAATTTATTATCACTATCAGTCAGTGTCCATGCAATTCATATGATGTTCTCAAAATTCAAACACCAGGGCTATTTTTCATCAATTTTGTTCTTTTCTTTTTTTAAATTATTTCAGAAACTGATAAACAGATCTAATGTAAAAGTCTGAGTTTCGGTCTAGTTCTTCTCAAGAAATTATAATTTATATGGATAAAGAATTATTGTTAATTCCATCTACCACTACACAGTAATACTAGTAACAGTAACATAGTCACAGTTTTTAAAAATTAAATTTAATGAAAAATAAAAATTTTCCGGAGGTTAAATCATTTTTAATTTGGACTAAGTTACAGATAAAGAAGGCTATAACACTTAAAAAGTATATTTATATTTCTAATTCTTCTTACCGGTCGTCCTACAGCGATACTACGAGTACGAGTCTATGGTGTACGTTTTCAACATTATTATAATTTAGTAATTAGTCAGTTAATTTGGCAGCTCTTTCTCCACGGGCTTCTGTCTTTAGCATTAAGATTCAGGTTAAAATATAACCTGAATTTAACTCACTTATTCCTTTATATTATACTAATTGTGGCATTAGGTTTAAACATAAACTTAATTTTCAGTTCCACAATTAGGCATACGGTAAGATAAAACTTTATGTTCTTTCTAAGCTTAACCTATTTTTGTGCTAATAAAAATAAGGTTGTCATACATCTGATAAAACTACGTTAATCCTAGTACTAGTAGTACTCGGTATTACTATTAGTGTCACGTATCTACACATACTTGGATTTGGAAATTGCCATAGACTTACGTCAAATCTCCCTATGCAGTAAAGCAGTGGCGTGATACAAATTGCCCTCTACTGGAAAGTTCCATTTTCGTAACAATCACGTGTTAACCCTCCACGACTAACTAGAACAAGACGGTTTCGGTTTACAGGTACAATGTGTAAAAGAACTTGGCTTTATTTGACATTTGTTAAGTACAAATCTTCATAATAGACTATCTGCGCTTTGTCCACCACGGAAAATCGAACCTCGGATTTTAGCATTGGAAGTTACCGCTGATCCAGGGGACGATTCCAAGAGATACGGAAACTTGAATTACTAATTAAATAATCTATTTGTTTTGTATACGATTCAGACGATATTTCAGATCTATTTATATGTTTAGATGACTTTATAGATCTTTCTATTTTGTATTAAGTGTTTTCTAGATAAAACAAAACACGAACGTAATAACAGGAAGCATTTATTGGACGTTTCTGAATCGTTATAATTCCATCATCAGTAATCTAGAGGTACAAACAAACAATATTTATAATTACAACAGAAATATATATACATAAGAAATAAATTGTTCGAATATACAAATATAACACGAGAAAATGAAAACTGAGGCACAAGTGAAATACTTAAAATAGGTTTAAATCCAGCGAAGACTATTTAGAAGAAGAGTTTTTATGTACAATGTTTCTTTTATAAGAAGTTCAGTATCATGTTTGGCTGTTGAACGAATTTTAAAATTTGAGAGAGAAATCGGATGTCCTGTTTCTGTATTGTGTTGATAGATAGCGGAATTAGAAGAGTTTGTAATATTTCTTTCGGTTTTTATAGATATGCTCACGTGTTCACATGTTTGTACTTTAAGGCGACGTTTGGTTTCACCAATATAGGAGGCTTTACACGTGTATAAGCAGTCGAGATGTGAACAATGGGCAGTCGGCAAACGATCTATGTAGCGTATTTTTTTTTTTTTTTGTCTAAAGTTGGGTTTCATTATAACTTTTAGGTCAATTTGGGGAAATAAGTGTTACATAACTTTTTCAACTATTTTGTGATAAAGGAACTCTATCTCTCGAGATATGGTAAGCAGGTGTATAAGAAACGTTGGGGTACAGTGGGTATCTTAGGTGGTTTGACAAACAACTTAGTTAGGAATGAGATATTACCTTTTATCCAAGCTGAATTCATCTCTAACGTCACTTTCCAGCTTTACATCCTGGCTGGACTTCAACCACCTTTTTAATCTTATCAACCAAAGTAATGAGAAGAAGATTGCTAGACGAACACATACCGAATGTTAAACTATGGAAACTTTCTAACAACATAACTCACAGCAAGATCTACCATGACCAAGTCATCTTCAACTAAAGCAACATCACTTTAAGTGATAATTAAAAACCTGCACTTGCCAAAGGATTGAACTTCTCTATACCCTCAAAATTCAATTGTGTTAATTACCTCTATCCCTGGGAATTTTTGTACCGGAATATAAAATATTTACCCATTTTTTGCAATAATACTTCGGAATAAACATGAGAACTATTTACTACTAAATTAAAAACTTAGCATTCTCCACCTTCTATAATTATAACACACGCAGGATATCCTCAAGTCTTAAGAACTGGCAGTTATCAAAGAACTCCCCCGAAACAAAGATATCACCACCACCCAACCGGAAAAGAAACGGAGTTGTTATACTCAACAAAGATGACTATGTTAAAAAAAATGCTTGATATTCTTAACTAACGCAACAAGTTCAAACTTAAAAACAAGGAACCATTAACCCACACTTTACAACTTGAAGGGAAAAACCCAGAGATTTCGTAGAAACCTAAGCAAAAGAAATATTATTTCTGACTGCGTTTACAACATTTTATATCCCACAGGCTCCCACCTGGGATATTATATGGTCTGCCAAAAGTTCACAAACCAGACACCCCCCCCCCCCTCCGACCTATACTTTCCGCCTTAGGCATTCACAGTTATAATGTAGCTAAATTTCTTGTACCCATCTTAAAACCTTTTACTATGAACGAATATACAACACCTGACTACTTCAAATTTTCCCGATAAATCAGTCAACTCCCCCCTTCCCCTTAAAGATCACGTGATAGCTAGCTTCGATATTACTTCTCTTTTTACTAATATTCCCCTGGACGAAACCATTAATATTGCATCTTCTAATATCTTCGCTAAAAAACATTCTTGTTAATGGATTTTCTAAGTCTGATTTCAAATCTATAAATCACACAAACAATTATTGTATACTCATTATTTAACTTCTGTAGTGCATATTGGTGTATAGAAGATATATTAATGCTAGAAATAAACGACCTTATAACACCAAAATGTTGTTTGAATTAAACTAAATATTCAGCGTTACGCTTTACAGCTTCTTTAGGAGCGTTCATGATCAATTTTGACACCAGAAAAATCGTGAAAAACACAGAAAAATCGAAAACTACCTACATAGCTGCTTGTAACCTACAAGAAGGTATCTTTGTACCAAATTACATTTAAGTTAGTTGACATACACATGAACATTTTACAAAAACCACAAATTGTACTTTCCTCGATAAAAAATTGAGCAAAAGACAAAAATTCCAAAACAGTCTATATCTCTGTTTGGGACCTATAAGAAAATATCTTTGTAACAAGTCCCATATAAATTGGCCGTAATACGGAGGAGTAATTGTACAAAAACACACCAGAATGATGCTTTTTGTGGTATCTTGACCCCCCCTATAGTGACTAAAAATGTTTTTCATTTTTGTTTTTCATCGTATTTTGCCTGTAGAAAAGCATCTTTGTACCAAATTCCATGCAAATCTGTCGAAACTTGGCTAAACAATTGACCAAACCCCTCAAGATTATGGGTTTATTTAACCTTTTGACCATCTTAAAATGGGCCTATTACATATTTTTGTATGTATATATATGGGACCTGCGAAAAGTATCTTTGTACTAAATTCCATGTAAATTAGTCAAAATACGTTCGAGTAATTGACTAAAACCCCTACAATTATGCTTTTTTGTGAGTTCTTCCCCTTAAAAAGACTCAAAATAGGCAAATCCAACTTTTTCTATATCAATGTGTTGGACGCAAGAAAATTTATATTTATGCCAATTTTCATCTTGATTGCTGCAAATATGATCGCACTGGAGTTGTTTGACCTTTGACCCCATAAAATCCCTTAAAAGAACTAAATAAATAAACAAATTAAAAATATATCTGGGCGTATTGGACCAAGATGTGACCCTACCACAGTCAATCCGTCAAGAAATGGATGAATGGTGGCAGACTGAAAAGTTTTTGTTTGATTTGTTTGAAGTTAAGCACAAAGCTCTGCCCACCACGGGTATCGAAACCCAATTTCTAGCGTTGTAAGTCCGCTGTGCCACTGGAGGCAGACTGAAAAGTGTTTGGAAGAAGAAAAAAGAACAGAAGAAGAAACGATAGAAAAACAGTATGTTTCTCTGCGGAGACATAAAACTGAATTTCATTAAAAATATTCGTTGTTTAATCACTGGGTCTAGTGAGATGACACCACTTATACTTACCAAATGTCGCCCCTGGCCTGCCACCCAGTGGCACAGCGGGATGTCTGCGGATTTACAACGCTAGAAACCGGGTTTTGATACCCGTGGTGGGCAGAGCACGGATAGCCTATTGTGTAGCTTTGTGCTTAACTTCAAACATACCAACAATCACCCCTGGTCACCTGTATCCAACTATCTCTGTTTTGGTGGGTGGAAATTAACGTGCTCGGTAACGTATGCAATAATGGCATCATGTCGTTTACTGCTGTCAACCTTATCGCAAACTTCAGAAGAAGCAGTAAAGGCTAATCTGAATTGTATGATAATGCCACCACTCAGTTAATTAAAAAGATTCGTATCTGCTTATTCACAATCGTTGGAGACTCAAAGTACTGGATACCAGTATAAAAATTTACAAATTACTTACAAAAAAATGAAAACCGGGATATTTATTAAGCATCTCAAAAGAATCTATCGGATATTGGGATGTGTGGCCACTCTATATATATTATGGCAAATAAGATTTTTTTTTAGTGTTTCGTTTCTTGACTTTCATGTAAACAGTAACCTGATCAGTAACTCATTCGTTAATATTTTCAGTGGCCCTTTTAACTTTCACAGTCTTCAAAATAACTTTGTATAAGAAACTATGATTTCTTTATACACCCCAACATGTACCGAATTCTGATGCTACTTTACTTATTTATTTCAGTTCGGTAACTCATTTTAAGTTTTTATGATAGTTTTCTTTTTGGTACCATTAATAATGCTCAAAATAGAAATAAAAAACCATAGATATTTTGACCAAGTTTTTAATATTTCATACTTTCACCAAAGTAAGATATCTTGCACGTAAACACCGTGAAAAAGCGCGAAAAATGCATATAACGTTATTAGATAAGATTTATCTCAAGGTTTTAAAGGAACGATTAACAGAGCTAGTCAAAATTTAAAGGATTATATTGAAAATTATTTATTACGGTTATTAATCCTCTTGTTTAGAGGGTTAGTGAAGTAGATTACTGTTATCAAAACGGAATCTACAGACGATCCTGGTAGTAACATTCTTGTTTAGTTTTAGTAATGGTTGAATGAATGTGTTGCAATATCTTATAAAACATGTTTTCAAATAATTTGATAAATATTAATCAGTATAATTACAGAATAATGTTTTTATGCTTGTCCAACTTAATAAACGTTTGGTAAGGTAAGAATATCCCGAATTTAAAAATACGAAACAGAAGTCTCTTACTTCTTGTAGACATAAGATTTTCACAGATCGAACACTTTTTTTTGACGTAACTACTTAGATATTAGATTTTAGTTCTTGTTTGTTATTAGTATGCCACTAATAAGGAAAAGAATTGTCTTGTTATGTATTAGCTGATGAGTCAAATAAGGTGATCGGCAGGGTTGAATCTTTTAAAGACAATTCCTCTATCAAAACTTAAATGGTACAAACCTTGTTTTCGTGTATTAACAT